CTTTAGATTTTTTATCCCACCTTTATTATTTTTATAAATAACTCAAGGCAGCCTAATACTCCTTCCTCCTATTTTCCTCACAACAACAATCCTGTGAGGTGAGTTCAGCTGAGGGAGAGTGACTGGCCCAAAGTGACTTTAATTAACTGAAATGTTTAATTTGGTCACATTTTTTAAAATATTATTTCTAACAGAATCCAAAGTTGGCAGATAAATAAAACAGATTTCCTCTAAAGTTCTAAAAATGGAAAATATGTTTATTAAAATATGTGCATCACCAAGAAGAAAACAGGGTTTTTTGTTTCAGAAATACTGTTTTTACACATATGCAACTAAGTGATGGAGTAATAAACAAGAAACTTATATGATTAATAAACAAATATGTATGTGCAAGCTTAGTTAAAACCTTTAATCATGACATACCAGTTTAAGAGTAGGAACTAGCTATCTTTCCTTGCGCCTAAAACTTGATAGTCAGGCAATGCATTTACTTGACCAAAAGTCAGAAAATACCATGTGAACTTTTGAGGTCTGCAGAACTTTTAATTAGGCAAGATGGTAAACAAATAAAAGTGTGGGTGGGCAGGGAGAAGGGAAAAGTGGCAGTGGTTCTTAACAGGGAATGTGAGACTTAATCAGAGACATCTTAAAATTGCCAAATTTGAAAAATCCTACTTAATTCATATACTGCGCATTTGACCATGTGCAAACAATAAATCTGAGTGGCTGCTAAGATAGGGAGCTGCAAAGCATTGCAGCATTTAAGATTACCTGTGAGTTGTGCTGGTGAAAAGGTGTTGCTTTTTTCAACCAGGCTCTCTTCTTCACAGCTGTAATCATGACTGCATATTGCTATGGCCAAGGGTGGGGCAGAGGTAGGTTCTTAGCAAACAACATGCTGAACCTCTGTGAGGAAGTAGGGTAAGGCAAATATTCTTGTCCAGGTCAAAATATCTCTTTTCAGAAAAAAAAATGCTCTCAAAACCATCAACCATACCTGGAAACATCTCAGACTCAACCATACCTCATCGTCTCAGAATGCCTTTCAGCTTGTCAGAGTTCCCAAATTGGGATTTTGAGAATGCACTGTAGGAGTTTTCCCCAAATAGCTGCTGAGGGAGTTTATCCTTTCATGAAATAGTTACCAGGGTGGAACAGTACCTAATCAGAAAGCACCAATTTACTATCCCTCCACCCTGTCTTCTCACAGCATGCTCTCCGCCACCCTTACTTACTCTTGGCTTCTTTCTGTTCAGGTGGATACAATTGCAACAAAGTATTGGGTTGCGTTCATCCACCATCTTTATTTTCTAGGGACGGCTATTAAGACGATTGGGGATCTAGAGGTATTCTTGGAGATTAAAATAAACCCATTCTTTGCTTTTTAGCATGCTAGCTTCCCACTTTTAATTAAAACTTTACAATATAAAAAAGTCAGTGGAGCACAGTGATCTATCAGATGCCTAGTTTCTGTTGCGCAACCAAGCTCAGAGAACCCTGAGGACTCCACAGTTCAACCCTAAGCTACACATACTGTATTCTCTTCTAGTGGTACTTAGGACTGACCCACAGCATCGCGAGGATGAACAAGCAAGCAATGATCGATCCTCCATTTTTCGAAATGTTTGGAAATTTAAAAAAAACCCGTCACCCCACAGCGAAATGGGCGGTGCCAAATTTGAAATATAAATAAT